ATGTAAATTGATTTGGGAAGTATTGACATGAGTCTTCCAATCTATGGACATGGGATGTGTTTCCATTTATTTATGTCTGCTTTAACTTCTTTCAGCAATATTTTGTAGTTTTCACTACAATATGTTGAGGTGCTTTTTTATTTTTTTATTTTTTACTTTTTTGAGGTGCTTTTCAAAAACAAATTTGTAGATAAACTTATATTTGCCATCTCAAGACTATGACAAAGATGGTTATATATGAATTTTAAAAATAAACCATAAAAATTGATCTTTAGACTTCTAAGTAATTGGAGGAGCTTATAGGGACCAGACACTAACACTAGAAAGTAATCAATTTTTAGATTATTTCAATAAATATTTACTGACTTTACTATAAGCCAGAACATTGACTGTACTAGGCATTCAGAATTCAGTGGTAAACAAAAAAAGAAGTCATGGTTTCTGCTTTCATAGAGCTTATAGTATTTTTGGAGTGCTTCTGGGTTATGTGCATTAAAAAAAATATGACACAGTGACACGGTAACGTTGGTCCTTCTGATATTTGCTTGGTAGAGGTTGGTTCGTGAGCCCCAGAACCTGGAACACTGGCTGGACTATGGTGCCTTCTGCCTCCTAACTGAGGACAACATCAAAGCTCAGGAGTGCTTTCGGAAAGCCCTTTCCCTCAACCAGAATCATATCCACAGGTAGGGGTGAGGGAAGATGGGGAACGAGGAGGAGCGGATAAGCTACTAAATGAAGTTGTCTTGATTCCAGGACGGTGACATGGGACCATGTTGTTAATCATGTTGGTGGTCTCTCCTCAGCTTGCTGCTGTGTGGTGTCCTGGCTGTCCTGATGGAGAACTATGAACAGGCAGAAATTTTCTTTGAGGATGCTACTTGCTTGGAGCCAACCAGTGTTGTAGCCTGGACTTTACTTGGTATGATATTTTCCTGTGGTCTGAATATGTTTTTATTCCATTATAAGATTCTCCCTTTGTCTTCCCATTCTTTTTTTAAAAATATTGTTTTATTGATTTCAGAGAGGAAGGGAGAGGGAGAGAGAGAAACATCAATGATGAGAGAGAATCATTGATCTGCTGCCTCCTGCATGCCCCCTACTGGGGATCGAACCTGCAACCCGGGCATGTGCACTTGACCGGAATCGAACCCGGGACTCTTCAGTCCTCAGGCCAACACTCTATTCACTGAGTCAAACCAGCTTGGGCTGTCTGCCCCACTCTTTAATCACTCTTCATATAGTTCTTAAACTTTGGTAAAAATGTGGGAAACGTAAAGTGAAATATTACAAATCCTAGTAGCTGATGGTGGCAAATTAGTCACATTTATTTTCAGCATCTTTCTTTCTTCAGGTTTATACTATGAAATTCAAAACAATGACATTCGAATGGAAATGGCATTTCACGAGGCCTTTAAACAGCTTCAGGCACGAATGCTTCAGGCGCAATTAATGAAGAATGCTGGTACCTTAGACGCTGAAACCAAAGTATCCGTGCAGAAGAGCACTGGTGTGGTGGAGCGCATTGAGGAAGGAGGAAAAGCAGAATCCAGTTTAGGACCGTGGGGAGTCACTAGTGGTTCTTCTACAACAGCAAGCAAGGCGGAACCGTCAGCAGGTAGGACCAGCGAATGGAGATGATTAGTGGCTGCTGGAAAAAAGTACTGGCCTTAGAACAGAAGCAGGCACATAGTAGGTACTCAGTGGATATTTGTGAAATGAAAAAAATAAGTGGAATTTTGAGTTGTTCCAGGGATACCAGGGAAGAATCTTCCAAAATAGTTCCCCATTTGTGTGATTGAAAGTCTGAAGCTTTTACTGTTGCTATTCAGTTTTTTTAAAAATCTTAGATAATCTATTGTCCCTGTGCACCCCTAAAAGGAGTATCGTTCTAGCAGAGGACATTTCCCCCACCTCACTCTCTTCCCAACATGTAAGGTCCCTCTCTTGTGATTCTTAAATTTATTTATTTGTACACTCCCTTTTTTCTTGTTCTTTTTTTTTTTTTAATCCTCACCTGAGGATTTTCCCATTGATTTTTAGAGAAAGCGGGAGGGGGGGAAGAGGGGGGGGGGGGGAGAGAAAGAGGGAGGGGGGGGGGGGGGGAAGAGAGAGAGAGAGAGAGAGAGAGAGAGAGAGAGAGAGAGAGGAAGAGAGGGGGAAACATTGATGTGAGAGACACACATCAATCAGTTTCCTCCCACATGTACCCTGTCCTGTCCAGATCTAACCTGTAACCCAGGTACATGTCATTGACTGGGAATCAAACCTATGATCCACTCTGACCACTGAACAAACCGACCAGGGCTTTCTTTTCTTTTTCTTTTTTAATTGATGGGTCCTTCTTTGACTCTTATAATGCAAAGTCTATTTTGTCTGATATAAATATTGCTACCTCAGCTTTTTTTGTTTTCATTTTCGTTTGCATGAAATATCTTTTTTTGTCCCTTTACTTTCAGTCTGTGTGCCTTTAGATTTGAAGTGAGTCTCTTTTAGGCAGTATATGAGTCTTGTTTTATTTTATTTTATGGTTTTAATCTTTATTGTTGAAAGTATTACATATGTCCCTTTTTTCCCCCCCATGGACCTCCTCCATCCCAGCCCCACCCCCACATCCAGGCCCTCACCACCCCCCTGTCTGCATCCAGAAGTTATGTATATATGCATAGAAAATCTTTAGTTGATTACCTCCCACCTCCCACCCCCCACATGTACTTGGGCAACTAATTTTTTTAAAAGGAGCTAAAAACATATAATGGAGAAAAGAAAGGCTCTTCCATTAATGGTGCTGAGAAAACTGGAAAGCTGTATGCAAAAGACTGAAACTAGATTGCTACTTATTATCATATACAAAAATAATTAACTCAAAATGGACCAAAGACCTAAACATAAGACCTGAAATAATGGATTACATAGAAGAAAACATAGGTACTAAACTTATGGACCTTGGTCTTAGGAAGGATTTTATTAATTTGACCTCAAAGGCAAAGGAAGCAAAAGTAAAATTAAATAAATGGGACTATATCAAACTAAAAACCTATACAGCAAAAGAAACCATGAATGAAACAAAAAGGCAATCAACCAAATGGGAGGTGATATTTTCACCTCTAATAAGACCTTAATATCCAAAATACATAAAGAGCATACACAACTGAACATGAAAAACAAAACAATCTGATTTAAAAATGAGCAGGGGACCTGAACAGACACTTCTTCCAAGAAGCCAACCAGGCATTTTAAGATGAAGTTAAGCAGCCCTGGCAGGAGTGCCAGTTCGTTCCCCGTTGGGGCACCTACCCAGGTTGCAGGTAGAATCCCCTATT